TCCATATCTGCTACAGTTAATTCTTGGCCTCAAGTGAAGAGGAGAAAGCTTGAAGATCAACTAAGTAATTGCTTTTCTGCCTCTCACAATTCCCAGATGCCTAAATATTGTAACATAAAAATGTCCTCTGAGAGCAAAGGTGTGGAAATTATTGAAAAACAAGTAAAAGATGTATTAAAAGAAGATTCTTGTGTAGGCAGCTTAACTAGTGAACTATGCCCAATGGTGGACCACCATGCGCCAGAAGGATTGGGTTTGAACTTGGTCGATTCTAATAATTGCATGTTTAAGGTAAGAGATCCAGAATGTGCAACACTAAATACAGATAGATGCTACACACCAAATGAACAAATACATGCTCCTACCGATCTCGATGATGGAGTACTCCAGGTATCAAGTAAAACGAAAGAAGCAATCGGTGATAGTCCTGGTTACGTAATTGAGAAAACAGGAGGAGAAATTCCGGATGGCCCTAATTTTGATGCATGTAAGCGATCTGACGAACATGACATCAAAAGTGCCTTGAATCATAAGAATGGTGCTGGTTTAGTAGATAATCGTGGAAGCATAAGTTATACAGGGAAAATAGTTCTAAAACATAACTCTAACTTTGTCGAAGACAATGTTTTCCCACATTCTTTCTTTCACTCGTCACGTGATGAAGTAGTGAATACTCATATAGTTGATACTTTACCCATGTATGAGGGTTTCATCATTGATCCCCCGGTAGCAGATGGAAAACTTGACGTGTCTGAAGCTGGAATTAACTTTGAAGCGTTAGCCCTTTCAGAGACTACAATTGAGCGTGCTAGCATCCTGGAGCAGATTTGTAGATCAGCTAGCATGCAGAGACCTTCATCTGATCTATCATCTGCTCTCAAATTGCACAGGTCGCACACCTTGTATCAATCACTGCCTGAAGGTCTTCTTGAACAAGGGGACTTACGAAACACCTCATTTTATACTGAAGATATTGATAAACAGCTTAGACACAGTACCAGTTGTGCAGAGGAAGTCAGGGATGAGGTTAAAGAAATGTCATATTCGGATTGTGTAGGTTACTCTGGTGCCATTTTCAAGTGGAAATCAGGAAGTCCGTATGCATCTCCTGTTGGAAAGCTGTGGGAAAGAACCTCATCGCATTCGGGCAGTTTAAAGAAACAATTGAGCTCAAACCCAGAGCTTACTTGTTTCCCTATCAAGGAGGACTCCTCAATTGGTGAGGAAAATGAGAACATGGATAAACTGGCTGATGAAGTCCAATATGATATTGATTCCTTGGTTGGAAATAGTGATGCCGAAAGAAATCCACCTTTTGATATAGCCAGTACATGCTTGAACCCTCATGCATCAGTGTCTGCAGCAAAGAAAAAGGTTCAAGCTGGTGGTAGAATGGACTTCGTCAAATCTGATGTAGATTTGAGTGCAACACGTAATAATGCCAGAAGAAAGCTTCGGAGCCATTCTAGAAATGTAAGTGAGGGAAAGGAAAACCAACCTCTAATGATGACTGCAAAGAAAAAAGAGAAGCTGTCACATTCCAATGCTTCTAAGAAGCATGAACTATCAGCAGCTTCTTGTTTGAGGAAAAAGGAGGAGAAGCTTTCAGAGAGATGGCATAAACATGACAATATTGTTTCAAATCTTACTTCATTTATACCACTTGTCCACAAAAAACAAGCAGCTACTCTGTGTACAGGTAATCCTAGATATTTTTATGTATTTATTCCAAACAAGGTTGAAGCCTTTTGATTTTGAAAACATGTATGTTTGCTTTCCCAAAGATATCCAAGCTGTACTCTAGCACATCAGGTGCTTCAAAGATTTTCTATATTTGGTATATGTGTACCTAATCAGGCCTGTCCTTCCAGGTTCCAGTAGAAATAAGCATAAACAAGAATTTCTCACTCAATTGCAAAACATTCAATAATTATCCAAGCAGCTTCATCATGTTAACTTGGTTATCATTGCATGATAATAGCGACTTTACTTTTTTCTCAAAAGATTGTATTTTCATTAGGGTTCAAATTGTGGGGATCTTGCCGTACATAACTTTTCTTATGTTCATTAGATCTTGGGCCTTCACTTTGGAAACAACCTACCTAATGCACTTTGTTGTGTTGATTTAAGTAATTATTTAGGAAACATGTAGCATGATCAATCAAGTTTCTCCATTATTAAGGACCTTTTGTGCAGATTTGTCCAGTCTATCTATTATTTTACAGGAAAGAAAGAAGTAAAGATTAAGGCTCTGGAGGCAGCTGAGGCAGCCAAACGTCATGATGAGAAAAAAGAGATTGAACGTAAGAAGAGGAAAGAAGAAAATTTAAGACAGCTAGAAATAAACAAACAAAAGAAACAAGATGAAAGAAAGAAAAAAGAAGCTGAAGTTTTAGCAAGGAAAAGGATGAGAGCTGAAGAGGAGAAAAATGACAAGGAGAAGAAACGACTTCGAATTGGAGAGTTACGGAGACAGCAAAATGAGGAGGAAAAGTTCCGTGTTAAAAAAGTAGATGTTGAAAAAAAGTGTTCTGCTATTGTAAGATCCCATCTACCTAATTATGTCAGCTTGTTGCGATGAAACATAAGTTACTGTTGTGACATGATATTTTCCAGGTTGGAAAACCAATACATGCTGAAATATTGGAAAATGACAACTCAGGAGCCACAGTTTCTCATGACAGCCTCGACACGTCAGATGATCAAAGTCAACCTGAAACGGTATAAACAATAGATTATTACATATGTAGTATTATTTTAACATGGAAGTTCAAATTTGTGGGCATCACTCTTTTATTTATGGCAGCACACTTAGGTTTTTAAAAGTTTAAAACTGGTTCTGTAAAATCCATCCAGTAGCTGTGTTGCTATACATCTAACCATAAACAGTTCCTCTTCTGGCCGGTTCTCTAAACAAGATAATATGCAATTATTTTGATTGTTTAATAACATTCTGCTGTGCTATACTCCCATACATGAACGATTCAAATCCTTTGTTGCCCGTTGTCACTTGAAAGGCGAAACCTGGAATCCTGCGTTACAGGAGACTTGTGCATGAATTTTCTCTGTCAAAAGTCAAAGCCTTTAATCACATGTCCAAAAAAATTTATAAATAGTGGACCTTCAGACTTGTTTGACTAGTTGGTCCATGTGCATGACTTTGAGTAGTTCTTTTTGTGCTGACAAGCTTTGTTTATTTTTCCAAGAAGCTATATGCCAATTTTGATAAACAAGATCAAAACTTCACTGCCATGGGAGCTCAATTGAAGTCATATGAGATTTCTCCATATAAATGTTCCGATGATGAAGGTGAAGATGAAGATGAGGAAGAAACCACACAAAAACCTATTCCCTCATGGGCCAGGTAATTAATTTGTAACTATAATGCAAGCTCTGTTGCCAATCCTGATTGACACTTATTCTTGTTTTGATTTTTAAATCTCAACTGATGATATATCATTATTACCCCAAGCTGGGAAGCTGCTAGTTCGTTTGGCATACACATGTTTCTTCAATGAGGCCATTAAGTTGGCATTCCGTCAATTTTAGTTATTGACTTGAATTTTGATGTGCTCATCTTTGATGTCTCCAGAAAAAATTGTGTTGCTCAGTTTCTTCTCTTTCAGCAAGAAATGGATCCTGACTTCATATTTCATCCAAATAGTTTATGCAGTATCGATGAAGGTCAGTTTCTCTGTGTGATGGAGCAACCTCAAATTCTTGCATTTTATTAAGCATCTCTAATGAGTGTGATTACTGAAACAAAAACCCAAGTTCCCAAATAACCTCCATATAAGTCCCATTGCATGTCTTAACTTCTTTAAGATTAAGATATGGTAATAATCCTGAAGCAATAGTAGCACCCATTTTATAACCTAAATTCTTCCACAGGTCAAAACTATATTGATTAACTTTTACATGTCATCAATTTGGTAAGGTTTGATTATTTTTTGTGCAAGCTTAAAAATCTTCATTCTATGTGCAGTTCTCCTGCCTCGAAAGCTACAGCTGAAACATGCAGCACTTTGAGTTGAATACTTGAATGGTTGGAAAAAGTTCAGGGAACTTTTGAGTGTATCCTCCAACTTCCAAGTCCTGCCCCTAGAGGAGAGGCCTAGACAGTTTCTAATTTTAACCAATGATCAGGTCCCTAGGCTACTGTAATGATGTGTCTGTATGATGTTTTCTTTAAATTCAGTTAATATGTCAAAAAATTCTGTATAAATAAGAGTGATGTGTTTATTTATTTTCGATTAAATGAAATGATTTAGCAAACTTTTAATTGTAAAAAATTTCAAACATACAAAAGGACATGCATGTTTCTTGCTCAACAAAGCACATTAATTATATGGAATAAGTGAATAACTAAATAAAAATGTCATTTTTTAAACAATGGCAAACATGACTATTTTAGGCACTTCCGTGGTTTCGGCGACCCGTGTCTTCATCTTTGTTAGTAATATATAGTTCGTGAATAATACAATAATACGTACGTTCGTGTATAATACGATACAATTATATAAAATACGGCTTAATATATGTTTCATGTTGAAAATATTAAGAGTATTTCAAATGAATAAAATTTTACTTGTTTTGATATCATTTTTATCAAATCAATTTTGTCATTTCTGATATTTAATTAATCCTTTAATAGATTAAAACCTATTACCGGTTGAGCATAAAAAGGATTGTAACCGCAGGTTACTAACCCAAACGTTTCAAATTTAATATCCAAATGTGAATTTTCTTTTAGTAAAAGCAATTATAAAATTTATTAATTAAATTTAATATGGCCGAACAGTTTTTCACCTGGCAGCAAAGCAACGTTCTTTTTCTTCTTCAGTTCATTACTTTTGTTGGTATGTATATATATATATATATATATATATATATATATATATATATATATATATATATATATATATATATATATATAGAGTAATGATCCTGTCCGGACGTCCGGACAGGGAACCGCCGTCCGGACCGCGGCGTTTGGCCGCCTTCCCGGTGGCTTTTTTTGATGAAATTTTTATGGCATGTTCTCCATCAAGTCTAGTTTATCCACAAAAAAATTCAGCCAAAAACTCAATCGGGAAGGTCGTCAAATGATTTTTGCAAGTTAACTGGTCCGGAATATGTATTTTCCGGACCAGTTAACTTGCAAAAATCATTTGACGACCTTCCCGATTGAGTTTTTGGCTGAATTTTTTTATGGATAAACTAGACTTGATGGAGAACATGCCATAAAAATTTCATCAAAAAAAACCACCTGGAAGGCGGCCAAACGCCGCGGTCCGGACGGCGGTTCCTGTCCGGACGTCCGGACAGGAATATTTGTCTATATATATATATATATATATATATATATATATATATATATATATATATATATATATATATATATATATATTAGAGATCAAATACAAACCTATCTTAATGTACTAACCTACAAACTAATCATGACCATCCGTTTCATTTGATCCTCTGTGCGTTCAATACCAAATGCCGTTACGTAATTTAATTAATTGAGGGTCCTTTAAGTCCTTTTGTTTTGTTTTTATATTGGAGAAAGAAAACACGATCTCTTTCCATTATCTTTCCATAACTTGCTTTTCAATGTTATTTCCTTTCTTCCTTCTTCGGCACTCAAACTTTATTCATTTCCATATAAGAAGTTAATTTCTTCTTCATGATAGCTAGAAATTTCCTGGGCATATCTTCTACTCAACCCTACTTTCGTGATTTCTTTTTTCTTTTTATTTATCTCTATCTCCATCCCCAAGATATCTTGCATGTCGAAAAACCTTTTTTTGTTCTTCATGATATTTATTATATTTAATGTTTTAATTTTTGTTCTTTATGAGATTTGTGATCTTTTTTTCTTTATGAGATTTATTATGTTTAAAGTTTTAATTTTTTCCTTTATTAAATTCGTGTTTATGTAAAAAATAAGAATGTTATGCGCTTAATTTGCTTGAAACATTTTATGATGTTCTTACATTGCTCATGTACTATGCATTATGTAATCACATGATTTTAGTATGCATGTGAGTTGAGTATATAATGCAGTTGCCATATCGATAAGATGCAGTATGAACTTACAAATTAAAGTGCATATGAGAGATCATAATGATAAGATTCAGAATATGAACTTATAAAGTGCATATATAATCTTACTAAAATGCACTATATGAACTTCTAAATGCACATGACACAAGGATAAAATGCAACACATGAACTACTAAAATGCAAATATCATTGCGGTCAGATGCAGTGCGAACTTCTAAATGCTCATGTCACAATGATAAAGAGCACATAGTAGTAAGGTGCAATATAAACTTGTAAAGTGCACATATAATTTTATTGAAATGCAATATACAAACTTCTAAAATGCACAATTGCACATGTTATAATGATTAAATGCAACATATAAACTATCTAAATGCAATATCGACATATTTATCACTATCAAGTTTTGATATGAATTATGGAGATATTAGAAATATATAATGCACATCATCCAAACTTAATATGCACTTCCACTAATGTTAATATGCACATTGAAGAACCTTAATATGCATGGACTTCTACGTTAATATGCATGCATTTCTACCTGTACTGATTTCTTACAAATTTAATATGTTAGAAGCTCTAATATAAACTATACACTCACTATTAATATATTATGTACATTCGATAACCTTAATATGAAATGCTAAAGATGAAAAGTTAATTAGGAAGTGATTAATTCCAAAAATCGAGTTATTTAGTTAACGACTTAATTATTATTAATTATTAATTAAAATTGAAAAGATGTTTTGAAATTTACAAATGCAAAAAAGGGATTTCGTGCATGGAGAAAATATGAAATTTTCCTTGTTTAAATTAATTCATATGAAGATACTCTAAAAACTTCCATATTTTAATTTCCAAAACTTGGACGGTTGCAATATTAGTGGTAGGTTAACATAAATAATGAGATTGGGGTTCTATTTTAGTTCCTATTTTAAAGTGACGGCTCTTTTATTCAAAAGCTAATTTACCTTGGTATCCTTCCCCATTAACCGTACATAGTAGTGGCCCATCCATTTTTTAATTCCATGTATTCACCACATAGCCTCATACGGTGGATGCTATACGAATAACTCTTGATTTGGCAAATCTGGACGCACGAGATTAGTTTGTAGGTTTGCATGGGAGGATTGGTTTGCACGTGAACTCACCCCTATATAGATTAGAGATCAAATATATATATATATATATATATATATATATATATATATATATATATATATATATATATATACACACACACGATTCTGTGGAGCAAGATAGATAGAGATTTCTTTGGTCTTAATATACTGCTGGAAAGTTACAAATGATTAGCGATCATACACACACTAAAAGTGTATAGTTGCCTTGCTCCAATCTTTGAAGTAACCGAGAGTTAGCCTAATTTCTTCTATATTACTCTGCTGGATTAATATTATTTTCTACTCTCGTTGTTCTGTTACCGGCTTACGCTGAAGAGCTCATTTTATCTTGGGGAAAGGTTTTCGCTAGCCGGAAATACTTTCTTGAGGACAGCGTTACGCGACTCGAGCTAATTCCACCAACATTTCATACGTTCGTGAAATATATAAAGATACAGACGCGTTTTAAACGTTTTACAATTTAAAAATACGGCATATAATATGTGTCTTATATACTAATTTAATGATAGAAATAAAAAGTTATTAAGCATTTGAACCACATTCTTCAACAATTTAAAATGTACGGAATAATTTTTTCATATATACGGATTTGAACACATAAGTACAATAAGTAATAAAAATGACATTGCCTATTTGAGTAGAAGTAGAGATATATTATTAGAGAATAGTTGATATTACTGTGACCGTGAGTTTGGTGAGCCGCCACAACATTTTTCGATCTCTTTGGAGTCTTGGTATGGGTGGAGAACAAAAGTAATACATTAGTAGTACAATAGTAGTATTGAAAAGGATTACGAATTTAAGAAACTAATTTATTAAATGTAATGACTATGAAACAATTAACGAACATATAAGGCATAAATTTTCTAAGCAATATAAATAATATTGAGCAACTAAACATTTCGTTTCAGTTGTATCACAACATTAGGCTTCCGTTTAATGGCGTGTGTTTTTGAATAAAATATGTATCAATACATACAGTACGTGTATTATACATTTTATGCTTAAAGTACGTGAGGTTTCCAGAATTTTCTGAAAAATTCATAAACGAGAGTATTATACGGGAATAAATGCTGGTGGAGCTAAAACGCGTCTGTATCTTTATATATTTCACGAACGTATGAAATGTTGGTGGAATTAGCTCGAGTCGCGTAACGCTGTCCTAAAAAATTTTCAATACGTACGGTACGTGTATTATACATTTTATCCTTAAAGTACGCGAATTTTTCCGAATTTTTTGAAAAAATTCATAAACAAGAGTATTATACGTGAATTATACGTTTGAGTGTATTATACGCGAATTATACGTGAATAAACTAACAGAGGTCTTCATCTGTGGTTCGGTTTTACACATTAATTTGCGACAATGCATTCATCAATTGAATGTCCTCTATCCAGATTTCTTATTCACCAGTAATGTTTTAACATGTAGGAATTCATATTGTGCTGACATTCAGAAGAATAGTTGACTAAGGGAGTGTTTGCGATTGCTTCTAATTTATAAAAGTGATTTTCTAAAGTGATTTTGGAGAAAGTATTTAGGGAGTGTTTGCAACAGCTTCTGCTTAAAAAAAAGCACTTTTGGAGATGAAATGAAAAAGTGATTAGTTGTAAAAGTTGATAGTGTTTGAGAAAAAAGTGATTTTGAAAAGTAAAAGTTGGTTGTGTTTGGTAAAATAAGTGCTTTTGGTGTATAAAAAGGGGAAAAACACTTTTGACACGAAAGCCGAGAAAAGTAAAAAATTGGTAGTGTTTGGTAAATAAGTGCTTTTTTAAGCCAAAAGCTGAGAAGTACTTTTTTTAAAGTTGTTGCAAACCAACCTTTAATAGTAAAAGTTGGTAATGTTTGAGAAAAAAGTGATTCTGAAAAAGTAAAGTTGGTAGTGTTTGGTAAAATAAGTGCTTTTTGTGTAATAGAAAAAGTAAAAAGCGGTTTAAAGCACTCTTCTACCTGCTTCCAGCTTTTAGCTTTAAAGTGATTAATTTAAGCAGAATCTGTCATTTGAAAACACTGTTTTCAACTTTTTTTAAGCTAAAAGCTGAAAAGCACTTTTTAAAAGCTCCCGCAAACACTCCTTAATAATATACGCAG